TTCCCCCATTGTTCCCGTTTTTCTCTCCAGAGTGTCGACTATAATCGATCACGATTGTGGAAAGCCCTACCTACGCTCAACCAATACATTAACATCACAAGTTTTTCTCATTTTTCTATCAGCACCGAGAGATAAACACCACCAGAATGGTTCGCATTGATCAGGAACAACCGGTTCTGTTTAATTCTCTCACAACGCTATTATCAGTAAAATTCCAACAAGACCTAATCTATCAATCCAGCCATTATTAAAAAATTCAATTACTTTGTTTATACGCCCCACAAACGATTTAACGGTGGGAAAAATAGTTTAACTTGCCAAGTAAATTCATTTTCAATTCATTTACTTGTGAGATAAATGGAAATTGATTGATGCTCGTTAATTAGTTAGGGACCGATTTGATGGAATGACGAAGAACAAAATGTCGATGTTTTCCCCCGAAGTTCCTGATGTCACTGTGATATCACCCTCTGCATTCCATTATGAGCAAATGTGTCGGTGTAACACAATCACAATTATGACGCAAGCATTTCCACGCAACTCGACAATTAATTGTCCCCTCGGCCCCACACTGACCCATGCATTAAACACAACAATGAATGCCACATTTCATCGTAACAATTAATTATATCTGCCGTGAAAAAAAAAACTTCGAATAATATTGAAATTCCATTTTTGCTCACCCCAAATTCAAATCCAGAATAACACACGACATTACATTATCGCCGTTAATTGCAACGTGCGATTACGTAACGAGGGCACTGGCAACAAAGTGATGACCGGTAATACATTTATTTAACGCCAGAATTTCCGCTCTGCCCTGGAGTACATCCATCAAAACCACAGAATGTACGCGAATATTTTAATATTATTTTTTATCAACGATTTAACTCGGCGAAATTCGGTGGAGTAATTACCGTGAAATGAAGAGATGAAAAATAAACTAATAAATGTTTTACCAAAAAAATGAGTGTGTGATAAGAATGAGATTTTCCTTGTCCGAGGAAAAATTGAGAAATATTCAAAATCAAAAAACATGAAATAAATTTATTTGAATCGAATAGATTTTTATTCTATATGAATAAATGGTTTATTTAATCTAGGTTCATTTGAAATAAATGAATTATTCCTTGAGAACGATAAATGATTAAATTATTATGAGGAAGATAACGTGTGATTTGATTTATTACCGATTTTTGAGGATAAAAACACCTGAGACGAACATAAAACCGATTCAAGAAATGACCGGACATCCATAGAAAAAAAAAAAATCGAAAAGTGCCTCGAATAAAAAAAAATTGTTAAGCCTGATATTTGGTATTGCAGTGGTAACTCAAAACCGGAAACGATCCCTCGATATCCGCTGGATGAATCGAGGACCTCATCGGCCTTGCGTGACACCAAAACAGTCACGATTGTAGAATGACTCATGTAGAGGTTCGTGAACTTTATTCTTATTCGGTTATAACACGAGTAGACGACGAGTTTCCTCGCCCACGTTATCCATGCATTTTTTCTTTCAACATCCCCTACACCGTTCTCTCTTTTTCCCCTACCGATTTCTTTTTTATCTCCATCCATCGTGAGAAAGATTTCCCTCCAGCCCTCCAGCCCTCCCAGCCTTCTCTTCCTGCTTTGACTCTTCTCGTTAACCATCGTCTCCATTTTCTCCCCCATGATACACCGAAAATCCACCGATTTTTCTCATACCCGTTGGATTTTTTACTTCACTGAAATAAACCACCGATTTTTCTTTATTTTAATGAAGAGATTGCGCCATGTTTCCGTAATTCACAGCCCAACCATGAGATTCTCGTTAATTCAGGATCACTTTCATGTTCAAAAGATCTCGGATAAAATGGAGAATAATTAAAAAAGGGAAAATCCACGGATTTAACTCCACATTAAAAGTTTTCTCATTTCAATTCTGAGATTATCGATTCGGTTTAAGAATTTTAAGCCTAAAAAATAGACTTAAAAACTCAAAGTCGCTGAATTTCAAAAACCTGCTAATTCATTCTGCTAATTCAGAAACGATTAATTGCAAAAGGATTGTTAATAGCCAAATGGGCCTCAGGTGGTACCAGATTTAAAATAGATATACAGGAAAATCTAGGGGTGATCAAGTGCACTTTGTGCGGATAAAACCAAAGCCAAAAGAACGAAAGTAAAAAATAAGTCTCCACGTATGCCACCTAAAGCCCTCGTGTGGGTAGTGCAGTGAAAAAAAAAAACCTCAACAAAAGAGATGTAGACAGAAATAAAACTCGAGACAAACGTCAATTGCTGGGATCCATGGGGGCTAAGTGGGATTATCAATCGAATGGGACGAGTTGAATTGTAATGGCGAGGGGGAATGGATGAAAATTGAATACGAGGAATTGAGTAAAATTAACGAGCCACCCCTTCGCCCGTAGAAGTGGGCGTTGGAGACAAATCCAAATAAAAAATAAAATAAATTCTTGAGAAATGTTTTCTCGGGGGGCTAAATAAATCTCGTGAGAGCGAAAGAGACAGCTAAACTCGCTATTATTGTGACTCGACGACTTCTGTAATCCATTCAGAAACGACTTTCATCCTTGATAAAAGTTTCCAAGACTACTGCTACTAAATACTGATGATAATGGAGACTTCAAAACTAATTACTCACTTCATCGCGAGTGTCTTTCACCAATGAAAAACTATTGTTTGGGAATATTTTAACTTGAGATATGAGGAATTATTTGCTCGGCTGAATCGGTTGATGGGGAATCGATGCTTTTTATTTTATCGGCATTAATCTTTGCAGACGGAACTGAACAGAATCACGAGCCACTTGTAATGCACAAAAGAAACTGTCTTTGATATGGGGCAGCCAAAAAAAGCGACAAATGGTGGGCTTGGAGTACAGCCAATCCATTATGAAGCAACCCACTAATAAAAAACATCGACGAATATCGAACAAAAGTTCTTTCGATTCAACGGGATATAAATCATTGAAATGACGGATTCGGTTGGTCATAATGCACTTTCTTTTTACTCGTTTTCGTTATGAAAAATTCCAGGTTTTCCTTTCTCCACTGGTTAATATAATTATTAATGTATATATTATTCATTAACACGAAAATATCTATTAACCAGAATTAACTCCTAAAATAAAATTAAACCAGAAATCGTTATCCGGTCTTGTGAACTGAGAAATTGTTTTAGCAAGTGAAGAATTTTTATTTTTAACTTCCCACCAAATTTACCAAATTTATTTGTTTTTATTTTTTATCATTGTTTAATGACTCATCAAGTTTAAATTGATGTGGAAATTTTTCTGCACTTTTTCAAAACTTTGAAAAGGAATTATAAACCTTTACAGAAAACGCATGAAAATTTTTTAATCATTACGAAATTTCGTGAGCCATCGACAATGATAATACGAAAGTAAATTTTTTCGGAGGATGTCGAACATCTTTGATGGAGATTGTGTGATTTTTTGGAGGATTCAGCAATTATATTTTTTGAATGACGTACGGTGGAAAGATGAATTGTGTATGTGCGGTTATGGAGCTGGGTATTAATTCCCGTTAGCATATGTGAAGCAACACGTAAAGAGATATCCACAAAACAGAGTGAATGAAACAGCCGATAATCGGTGAAAACATGTACCGAATATTGAATGCTGAGTACAAAACCCGCACGGGTTTTATCGACCTTGCGCATAATCGGGGGAGAATTTTGACGAGGTTAGCACGATTGTATCCATCATGAGGAAGCGCAATGTCCATTAAATTGAGGTTAAAAAGCAGAACGGATATACTGAAAATGAGGAAAGAACTTTCAGAATGGTGAAATTAATTTTTCACTGATTTCTACACAGCGAATTGATTCCATCGCGATCCGACAAAAAGAAATTCATCATTCTTTCAAATTCAATTCACCCATTGGAACGTCATGCGCATAATTACTGTGCGTACATCGCAAGGATAATTTTTCCTTTCAAGTGCACGTTCTATTAAAAAAATGATTCATATTACTCGACTCGAATGCAGTTTTCTTGGAACTCGCCTTCATCGTGTGAATCATCAAGAGCTGGCGCTTTCCATTCCCAAACTGGTACCACACGCGTTCATTCAAGAATATATTACACGTTCCTTTTATTTGTGAATAAGAACAAGTGTATTGATACAAAAAGTATGCGTGGGGAACAGATGATTCGACCTTGATAATTCAATGAGAGAAAATTCCGAGGATACATCTTCTGTAGAATGAATTTTAATTGTCAGAGAAAATTTGATTGACGCAAGAAATATTCAGTTGTCATTAAAAATCATGGCGAGCTAATTGGTAATTGCGGCTAAAAAATCAAGGAAAGTTTCGGATACTTAATGAAATATTCCAGAGATTATTTCCCCTCGGATTAACTTCAGTGGAATTTCCGTAAAATTCATAAACTTAACAGCAACTGAATTGTTCTTCAAAACAATTTTTTCCCCTATTGTGCGGTTTATCTCAGCAGACCGTATTTACTGACTTTGAATAAATGAATGGTTAATGTTTTAATTATCCTCGGAGTTCTTTCCCCCGGCGATTTGAATAACAACATTATCTTCAAATTGAGTTCCTGAGCTTTGGCAGGGTGATTCTAGTTGAAAAAACTTATGGAAATTAATGGGGCGATATCAACGAGAGTATCGAATGTTATCAGAGCACTCGATGTATCGCAATTGCCAGAGGCTGTGGCTGCAATTGGTGCGAATTAAGGGGAAGATTGAGCGTTCAACGGTCTTCATATTTACACGGATAAAAAAAAAAGTGTAGGCGTTATTATTCAGTGCGTGGGGTGTGAAAATAAGGTGAAGCACATCGCCCTATCTATTTATTTTTTCTCACCGACTCTCGGGAATCCAGAGATTGTTCAATATCCGGAGAAGATGAGACTAAAAACAAGGGGTGATAAGGGATTAAAAGGGGCCGGAAAAATCCAAAAAAAAGTGGCTAAAAATATTGAAAAAAAAAAGAGAAAAACTCACCCCTTCCGTCGATTCCCCGTTGTCGTTGTACTTGTGATCTCTCAGTTGGAAAAAATAAGGGCAAAACAGATTCCAACACAAGAGATACCGCTGATTCTCGTTAATAACTCGTAAGAATTCCTCGGTCAACTCTTTGTCCACCGATATCTCCGATATTTATCCAGCAATCAGATGCTTCCCTTGTCTTTTACCTCGTCACTCCACCCCAGGTTCATCAATTTATCCCACAAGAAATGACTCCGATATATCTCTCTCACTTTTAATCACAAGTGAATTAAACACACCGGCTTCACTCGCCACATGAATCCCAACGAATTCTCCAGCGTTTCTCTCCCCTCGTTTATTCCTGTTTTTTTTTCCTCTTTTTCTTTCCCCCGATGACTCCCGGTGTAAATTCTCCTTCTCGTTCTCGTCGCTTTTTTTTTTCTCTTCTTCTTGGAATAAAAAAAAAAAGCACAGACGCCGTGCGCGGGGGGGCCGTTCCCCGTCGGTCGTGTCGTATCACCCGTTTATTTTAAAAACTCGTATTAATAATTTTCGATTCATCGAATTTTTCACACAAGTCTACCACGCGAATCAGCAACTTTCAACCCTGTGATTGTCTCGGCCACGAGTTTTGGTGGGCACTTGGGATTTTTTTTTGGGAGGGGAGTTATTGTTTTTGGCGAGTTGGGGGGGCTTTTTTGTTTTTCAACTCTCTAATCACTAGAAACTTGTCGCTGTTTCGATTATACGCGTGAGACAAACCCGCGGACAGCGCACAATTCTACCGTTATCTAGGGCGATGCCTCTCGGGCCTCTGCTCCGTTTTTCAGCATCGAGTGTTGAGATTCTTGATGAAATACCTCGACGTGTTTTTTGGCCGGTGATAGCTTCGAAAAACCTTCATACACTGTTTTATCGGTAGATCGTGACGTTGAGAGTAGCCAAAGCTCCATCAGAGGCTCTGGGTGACCTTGTGAATTTTAGTGTTCACCCTAAAGGACAGAGAACGCAATCATCCGTTTTTTGGGTGTAATGGGTCAATTCAGTGGGTAAATAGGGTGAATATACCCGATTTAAGGTCAAAATCGGGTTGACCTTGAAATCGATCTAGCGTTTCCTTTTATAATTGAGATTTCCTCCGAATTTCGAAGAGATCGGATCCTATTTAATGAAAGAATTGGACCCAAAAAGGGTTGTTAAGGATTTTTTAAGGAATATAATCGATTCCATTTCCGGGTCCATTGGTCCCCGATTTGTGATTCTCGTCGGTAATTCCGATTTGCTTTGTGGGTCTTCTGGTTTTTCGCCCTCTCTTCTTTGGGGTCGGTACTAATGTTTATGTAATGAGATTGAATTTCTGATTCGATTCGCTTCTTAGGTTTATCCTCTTTGGTGAATTTTGTTGCAACTTGTTGGCCCTCATTCTTCCGCCTGCCGGCTTCGTCTTCCATTGGAACGTTACCAACGGACAATTCCGCGCTTTTCACCGATTTAATAAATAATCAAACGGTTAAACATGGCTAGTTATCACAAACCCGAGGCTAAAACTATCCAGGAACTCAAGGATATCGCCAATAAACTCAGAATCCACTCTGTTCGATCCACTCAAGCTAGCAAGTCTGGGTAAGTGTCCCTGGCACAGTATTAACTGGATCACTAATTAATATCTATCATAAATCACATAAGTCGACGGTATTCATTCAGACTGTTAAAAAACGCTTAAAATTTCAGAAAAAATGCGTTGGATTCAATTTAAAATGAAAGAATTGACTTGAAGTAAGACTTCAGGTTTTTGGAAATTGACATTTTTTCCGGAAAAAATAGGATTGTTCTCGAATCTCCATGAATTTCCAAGAAATTTATATTTTTCCTGAATTTTCTTATCTTCCATTAATTTTTCAAGGATAATTAATTTATAATTCACGGTTTTCATTCATTTTCCCTCGAAATTCGTGAATTTTCAAAGGCATTCAGTTTTTTTAAATGCGGATGGATCTTGAAAAATATTGATTCTATGAGCATATTACAAGAGATTTTTTTTATTGAAAATCGGAGCAGCTGCCAAAAAAGTCTCTAATGATTTTCGCGTTAATTGATAGCTTTCGAGGTAAATTGATAATATCTGCCAATTCCAAAGTGTCTGCAGTTATCACTTCTCGTGGTCATAATCATTTGTACGGGATGACACGTGGTGGACGGAAACTGATAAAATGTCTTACGAAAGTTGTTTTTAAAAATTCGACGTTGATAATGATTTGAATCCCATAATTTCGGGTTCAGTCTGAATAAAAATAAAATCTTTTAACAGAATCCAAAAGTGGTGAAATGAAATATTTCGAATTCAAAGTTTTGATTTGTGTCGAAAACCATCAATTGGAGATGAAACCATTAAAACCCTTTGTTGCGTGCGATTATATTCCCGACAAAAAAGATCTCTTGATATTTTTCCGGAAATCCTTCTAATAGAATTCTGCGATGGCCTTCGCCGGTTGATTTCTGCTCCACGTGTTCTGGTTTTCTGAACTCTAAAATAGTTTTATTTTTATATTTCGAAACGTCACTGAATATTTGAATAAATAATTCTGCGCTGACGCTCGAGTTTCATATGAAGTCTAATTTTCTCAAGTTGCGGGAAATAAATTATCGCGATGACTTTTTTCGGAGAGAATATCTAGAACTTCATCTAGTGCCCATCACTCTCGAGATGAGCATAATGAATTAATTTATCATTCGTCATGTGCGATAACTTCAATTCACATTTGGGTTCCGACATTTTGTGGCTGAAAAAAAAATGAGATTTCAATTCTTGGGGGGGCATTGTTCGTTCACATCATGTACATATAGACATGTAATTATATTGCGTATACTCGACACTCAGTTCAAGGCAGCATGACGCTTGAATATGATTTATGCGTCGAATAATCAATGCAGAATTAGAGATGTAAGATATAGAAATTCATTTAATATCGTTAAACATTATGTAAAAGTTCAGCAAAACGAATTGAACATGAGTTGTTTCATGTCTTGTGCTGTCGTCACAGTAGTAGAGGAAATGGAAAATAAAATATGTGAACGTATACGCGATTCTAGAAGAATTTCCATTGGCTCCTCGGATCGCTCGATGTCTCACGATATTCCAAGAGCTGGGATATCCAATCGCTTTAGAGACAGTAAATCGTCATGATAAATTAAATTTCAATATTACCATAAAGTACAGAGATAATAATAAGAATAATAGAAGAGATATTTTCTGCGAATACCACTTCGATTGAGTCCCACAAAAGTAAAAAGATTTTGATAAAAATCTTCAAATCCAGCGCAGATAGCAAAAATTTTGTAATAACCTTTTTTGCAGCTCTCAATTATTTCTACAAAAAAGGTTCAACTGAAAATTTAGGTACCAGTTCTGAATTCTGAGTTATTGACAAAAAACTTATCGCTCGAAATCAATTCGAACAGTTTCGCCACTTTGGAGTGAAATAATTAAAATCTCTTGAAATGCACTGATTTTTTAAAAATTTCCTGATTGTCATGGTAATCCACAGTATTAGGGGTGTGAGTGATAGTGTGAGATTATCGTTGAAGATGTTATGTAATGCCCCAGTGCTGTATTCCACACCTGTAACTCCACCTGAAAATTCTGAAAATCCAGAGAATTGAAATTGAAACGATTCGTGGATTATTCAGGAATTTCTGGGGTTCAGGGTTCAAATTCAGGACATAATTCCCGCGTCTGGCAATTTTCCATGATCCGAGTGACCGACGCGAGGGGATTCGTTCGATATTTGTTGAGGCGGCAGTCAGTACCTATCGAACCTTCGTAGGATATAGTCGTTCGAGTCACTCCTTGTTTAAATAATTCAAATAATTATTAAAATCGAGTCATGGTGCGCGATACGGAGATCCAGAAGCTCAAGGATATGGCTAACACCCTCAGGATCCTGAGTGTCAAAGCCACCGAGGCTTCGAAGAGCGGGTGAAAATCACTCCAATTAGAAAATTATAATCATCCGGGTTATAGATTTCATCAACCCCAAGAGATTAAAAAAAAATTAGTTCTTCTGGAATTATTTCCGACAACAAATACCATTCGTGAGGAGTTGCAGAGGATTTTTTTATATTTTCAAGCGCGCCGAGCGCGAAATTTGCCTTCAAAATATTTTAATCAATAAGTATTTAATGTTGTTTTAATTATCTCTATTAATGCCGCGTTTTATTTGACCTTTTGATATTGATGGGAGATACAATCCCGGCTGTTATCAGCGCTTTTGCTGTCCTCGCATATTCGGAAATATATCGGGATTGTTTTTGAATCGATAGCGCATTTTATTTTTTATTTTACGGTTGAGAATAGAATGAGTTGAGAGTGGGGGGACTAATCAGGGAAAGTATTTGTCAAGGTGTTCATTAAGTTATCTCAGTAGTTTTGTCCTTGAAAAGTCATTCCCTTCGGTTTTCCTCTGTCGACCTCGAGCCGATCGATATTTCTGTTTCACTCGAATTTAATCCGCACGCAATATGAAAAGCGACGAAATTTCCAGCAATTTTTTAAATTTATTTACAGCCACCCAACGTCATGCTCTTCGATGGCAGATATCATGTCTGTCCTGTTCTTCAACGTGATGCGGTACAAAGTATCAGCCCCACGTGATGCGAACAACGACAGATTTGTTCTCAGTAAAGGACATGCTGCTCCGATCCTCTATGCTGGTAATTTGAATTGACAAAATTGTAATTACTTGGAGAATAACCCAGACGTAATGATGTTTATTATTTTCGCAGCCTGGGCTGAGGCAGGACTTTTGCCAGTTGCTGAGCTCCAGAATCTCAGGAAATTTGACAGCGACTTGGAGGGACATCCGACACCTAGGCTGAATTTCATTGATGTAGGGACGGGATCCCTGGGCCAGGGGCTGTCAGTTGCCGCTGGAATGGCATACGTAGGCAAGAATTTCGATAGAGCCAGCTACAGGTAATTAAGAAGATCAAAACAATTTAGATACGTCATATTTACTTTTGAAAAATTAATTACAGAGTATACTGCCTAATTGGTGACGGTGAGTCAGCAGAAGGTTCGATCTGGGAGGCACTGAGCTTCGCCTCCCACTACAAGCTAGACAATCTCTGTGCAATTTTCGACATCAATCGTCTTGGCCAGAGTGAACCAACAGCTCTGCAGCACAACCTGGAGGTGTACCGTAAACGTCTTGAGTCCTTCGGGTTCAACGCCCTTGTGGTGGATGGTCACGATGTCGAGGAGCTCGTGAAGGCCTTTTACGAGGCCCAAACGACGACTGGTCGTCCCACAGCGATCCTGGCTAAGACCTTCAAAGGCAAGTTCTTCCCCAACATCGAAGACCTGGAGAACTGGCATGGAAAGCCTCTAGGTGACAAAGCCGAGGAGACAATTAAATATTTGACATCTCTGATTAAGAACCATGGACCCCTGGGTCTCCATCCCCAAAAACCCCTTGTCGAAGACGCTCCAGTTGTCAGCATCAGCAACATCAAACTCCAGACACCACCGGCTTACAAATCCACGGATCAAGTAGCCACTCGTCTAGCCTATGGCACTGCCCTCGCCAAAATCGCCCAAAATAATTCCCGAGTGATTGCTCTGGACGGTGACACCAAGAACTCGACGTTTGCTGATAAAATTAAAGCAGTGGATCCAGCTCGTTTCGTCGAGTGCTTCATTGCTGAGCAGAATCTCGTGGGTGTGGCGACAGGGGCTGCCTGCAGGGACAGAACTGTTGCATTTGTATCAGCATTTGCTACTTTCTTTACTAGAGCATTTGATCAGATAAGAATGGGGGCTATATCTCAGGCAAATGTTAATTTTGTGGGCTCTCACTGTGGAGTGTCCATCGGAGAGGATGGGCCTTCCCAGATGGGTCTGGAGGACATCGCCATGTTCAGAACCATTCCTGGATCCACTGTGTTCTACCCTAGTGATGCTGTCAGCACGGAGAGGGCTGTCGAGCTCGCTGCCAACACCAAGGGCATCTGCTTCATCAGAACATCCAGACCTAATACTGCTATTTTGTATAAAAATGATGAGCCCTTCGTTGTGGGAAAGGCTAAGGTCGTTAAGTCCAGTCAGAACGATCAGGTTTTGCTCATTGGAGCTGGAGTAACACTTCATGAAGCCCTGAAGGCAGCTGAAGAGCTTGGAAAGGCTGGTGTCAGTGTCAGGGTGTTGGATCCTTTCACTGTTAAACCTCTCGATGCTGCGGCTGTTATTAGTAATGCCAAAGAGGCTGGGGGCAGGATTATTACGGTGGAGGATCATTATCCTGAGGGGGGACTCGGTGAGGCTGTGGCCTCTGCTGTTGCCATGGAGAGGGGCATAATCGTGAAGAAACTCGCGGTCCCTAAGGTACCCAGGTCTGGTCCGCCCAACGTTCTTCTTGATGCCTTTGGAATCAGCGCTAGAAACATTATCGCTGCTGTCCAGGAGATCGTCAAGCATTAGGTCGTCTCCTGAAGCGCAATTCCACATTCCAATTCAATTTTCTATTTTTTGAAAATGTAGTTCAGAAGATGAGGGGCTTGACGGCCTCGAGTTTTGGATGTGGACTCGTGTTTGATACACATTTACATATTACAGTTTATGTATGTTTATATACAGACTTTTGTAAACAAATTTACAGATTTTTCAGAGCATTGTTAACTGTTTGAAGTCTTGGGATTTGAACAACTGTATAAGAGGAAAATATATTTTTCACGGTTTCTGCGTAAATTACTATTGTTTGAATTTTAAATAAAACCGGGGGGTAATAAATAAATTTTTATTATCAATTTCAAGGGATCCACAGAGAATTCAATTTAAAAAAAAAATCGAAAAATTTCATGTCAAGATTTAAAAAAGATTTCATCAATTCAAATTTCCCATTCATAGAGACGAGAATTTGAAAACCCCGCGGATCGCCATTACACCTGACCACGAGCTCACATCACTTCCGGCGTGCAGTGAAAATGGTAGGAAAAATGGTCGACACCCAGCGGCAGAAAATTCAACTGGATTTTCCTCAAACACATTCACCCACGATTGTCCATGAGTTTGTTTATGTGCGTAGAGACACGTAACAGCCCGAAGTTTTTCATAGTAGCGAGTGTTGGTGCGCGTCGTCCGTGAACCGAGAATATTTCTCGGTGCCCCCCACCCCGATTCAAACCCACACATTAAAATAACCCCCGGGCACAGAGAGAAGACAAAGGTACATCGGCGAATGAAATAGAAGAAGAGGAGACATAAAAATAAGTGAGAGAGGACAAAACGGTGTGAATACGAATCGGAAAAGCAAAGTTGTGTTGGAAGGGGAGCCGATGTTACCCGAACCATTCGTGTGGCCCCGAAAAGATGGCCGCCACGAGAGCGTACGGTGGTAATGTTGACGTCGTTCACCAAATAACCGCGTCCAGTGTGTCAGCGTGATTGCAATTCCCTAATTTAACATTAAAAAATAACAACAAACAGTGATCGACAAGATCGTTAACATCCCCCCAAAGTGCCCCTCTGTGACCCCCCAAAGACGTGGGAATAGTTAATTTTTTTCGTCATTTTCTCTTTTATTTTCGACTGGATTCAGTGAGATTGTTGAGACGAGAGAAATAAAAAGCCTCCAGGAGAGAAAAAGAGGGATAGATTGTGAGGGAGAAAGAGAGAGTGATATTACGCGTGAGGGTGAGGAACTCACGACGAGGTGTGTGAGGTACGAGAATTTCCTGAGAATAATACGATTTTTTTTAAATTTCTTATTGTCACTGAAAGTCGTGTGGAAATTGTGATTTGTTCAGTGATTACACGGAAAATAAGAATTCGGTGAAGTGTTGGGGAGGGGAGGGAGGTGCATTTCGTGGGGGTAAAAATGGCTGATTATTGCAGCTCTGTTTATTGTTAATGGAAATTGGTGGTTTTTATTTTCTAGAGTCAGTGGGGCATCGTAGGGGGATTTTTTTTGGGGGAGAATGAAAAAATTTGTGATGCCTGAGGGCTCCTCTTGCCAGTGCTCCACGAAACTTCGTGTCAACGGACGGCCATATTAATCTGGAGCCCCGCCGTCATTGAAGTTTCGGCGGTGCAAAAGCTGGGGGAAAAAAGTGAAGAGGGTGAACATTTGGAAAATTAGGATACACCATAACAATTCCACACTCGGTTATAATTAGGCATTTGACCTTGGGTTTCAGTGGGCCTTGGAGGTGACTGATATTTCGATTATATTGCATTTTTAATTTTTTCATCCTGTGTCCGTCGGGTATATCTCGTGACGATGAGTCCAGTGCGTGTTTTCTCAGTTAAAAATCATGGAACTAATGTTGAGAACACGAGTTAAGTGCGAGGATTGATTTATCGTGAAATTTTGTGGAGGTGCTCTGGGAGATGGGGATCCTGTGGATGGAACAAACTGTTAAAGTCTTCGGATTTATTCTGATGTAACGTGTGAGTATTACTCGTATATCCCGATATTTTTTTTTCATTTGGCCTTTTTTTTGGGTTCGTGTTGGCTTTTTCTACCCCTGGGTGGTATAACCCCTCTCTACACCCTTCAGCATGACAGACAAACAGCCGGGGCTGACTTCTCCCAAATGCTTCTTCTCTATCATCCATATTTCCTCCTTGCAACTGTCACAAGTTCCTCGTTTATCCTAGATGTATTTCTTTCATCTTAATTCTCATGTGGTGTTTCATTATCGTGTCATTAATCTCTGTAGGTTATCTCTGAGTTTTAATTCCCCTTTTTGGAGATTTACTTCGGTTATTCCGGAATTGCCGTGTTGTTTGGCTTTCTCGGGGGCTTTTTCTGGTTTATTTCGATTTATTTTCGTTTGAAATACAATGCGGATTATCAGGAGATCTCGGGTTATCTTCAGTGGAAATAATGAACGGTAAATGGCGTGAATGCGTGGGGAGGAAAAAGATTTCAGGATTTTTCTTTTAGTTGTTTTTGAAATGTTTGGGAAGTTGTGGAGACTCGAGTTTTTCCGTTTTATCGATTTTCTCAGGAATTGTTTATTCACTGTTGTGAGTGTTTAGGTTGCTTTCAGCTGTTTTTCCAATTGCTCGATTTTTTACACGTAAAAATGGGCAGAATTTGTTTTCACTTGAAATTATCGTTCTGGGTTATCTTCCATATTTTCTCATTTCTTCTGGTTGTGTTTTATTTTTCTGTTTTCCTGATTTTTCTATTATTTTCTTTTATTTCTTGACGTCGCATTTGCAATTTGTCGGGTGAATCATTATCACGCGGCCGTAATGACGAGCCATAACGGCTTATGTAAGGCCATATAATCTTTTTACAGCGAGAATACCTGTTAGCTGATATAACTGACTTTTAGGGCCTAGACGAAAGTTGAGTTTTATGATTTCTCGTGGAAAGCAACTTGACACGTTATGAGCTGGCCACGATGTGGGTTCCAGTGATTTTTATTTAAAAAATAAGTAAATAGGGGGAAATGGCTGAGTGGATGCAATGAGATACTGACAAATATGATTGATCGAGAATGTATGACTGTACGCTTTCAGAACATCTTGTGAATGGGATTTTCTCGGATTTCATACGATGGCTCCATCAGGATTTTTGAATATTCATCCCTCACGATTCTTCAATACATTATCTGTTTTATTTATTTCCGTTTGCTTGAGAAATCTATTGAATTAAATTATTCACCAGAAATCAATGAGAAATGATAAAGTCTCAGTTAAAATTTAATGAACTCCTGAGTGAATTGCCCAATCGTCGAACAATGGAACCAATAATTAATTCTGAAATTCTCGCTTATTCGTTTTGTTATACATTTTTTCAAGAACAAAAATACAATGGAAATTTAACAAATTAATTGGCTTTTTGTGGTTGACAGATTAATTCTCCCATTTTTATTTCTCTTTTTGATCATTTGACATTCAGTTATTCATCCAATTAATGTGATAATTAAAATGCACTATTGACTATTGCCCAATTTTATTCTTGCGAAAAAAATTCGATCCCTCCACTTTCTCTTGATTCTTTCATTATTTTAAACCGTAATTGAATTCTCATTGAGGTCAATGGGAGGCCAATTTTTTTCAACATTTTCCGGGGAAAAAATATTTCATTACAACCGAGTCGTTAGTTACTGAAAAGTAATCTCCATTTTTTTTTACTCTTTAATTTCTTATCGGGCGAGCTGATATTTTGAGTTGAAAGGAGTCGTTGAAGAGGCCAGAGACGAGCATGGATTACCCAGAATCCAATCAGGAGGATTACATCAATCTTTTTTATATTTAAAATTTAATCCCAAAGAAGATGCTCCTCGTTATCTCCTCGATTGATTTCAGAATTCATTGTATCTTAATGAATATCAATTACAATCTCATATTACAATTCCTCACACTTTATAATGAATGATAATTGTAAAATACTTACAGCGCCACTTTGGGGGATTATTTTTTTTCGCTTTACCTCGAATAATTAAACCAATTGACAATGATGTCATTTTTTTTTCTTAACAGTTTCTTGAAAATCGTTAAAGTCCAACAAAACTAACTGCAAAAGTCACTCTACTGCACTCTTCTCGAATTAAATCGTAACGCAGTCCATTAAGTTTTATTGAATGATTGAATATCGTCGCTGAATGTCTCGTATTGAATGTATTTTTTATACCTATTTTTATGGAATCAGAGAACCTCTCAGCTTCTTTCCCATATCGATTTTTAATCTCGATTATAACCGTCAAGATATCATGCAATTTTATGAAATTCTCGGTGTCAGGCTGTAATGAAATGGTGGAACAGGGAGATCAAATATGACAGTTCTGACAATTACCAGTTTATTTGGACAGTGGTAATTCAATTATGGGTCTTAAGCTTCACCTGCGATGAAAATGGATACAAATACCTGAAATAAATGCGGCCTGATGAATTTTATTTTTACTGTTCCTTCGGAAAATATAAAAACACTCTATGATCTTCGCTTGGGTGATTTTTTCCCTCCATTTCTAGACATTCAATTAAATCATTCTCCCGGGAACTCATAACTTCAATTTTCCTTTTCAAGTGGTGGATTGAAACGTCTCGGCGTTCTTATCATCCGGAATTGTTGGAAATTTGATCTTCCTTCTTTCGCATTGTCCACATTTTTCATTAGATCCGGTGCATTTCTGTTTATTTTTCATCCGTATAAATTTCCAACTTCAACACCTCTTCCACCAGTGAGCCGAGAAATAAACGGAATGAACAAAATTTCATGGGGAAAGGGAAAAAAAAATAAGAATAGATGAATAATAAGTCGACGATAAGTCACCGATGCGAACAGAACAGGAATCGAAGATGAGTCGTGGCTGGAATAGTAAAATCTAAGGAATCGAAGGGTGGAGGATGAATATAACTTTCCTCTCCTGTCCTTTTCTCCTTTTGTTCTCCACCTTCTCTCATCGAACTCGAGATGAATGCACTGCATTGTCAGGAAAATAAAATAATGAGCACCATTCACTGGCTAAAACTTGTCTTGATACTCAAGAAAAAAAACGAGAATGTGGAGGGGAAAAAAGTCATCACATTCCCTCGGTAATTGTTTTCTCAACTCAGCAGTTTATCTTTCGTGAGACATAAAATTAAATGCTTCCAGTACTTTTATTTCAGTTGAGGTACATCCGAAGGGAAACAAAATCTCCAGTTTACGGAGCATTAGCGATATCCAAGTAATCTGACAAATTTTTATCCACTTGAATTTAATTGGTGCTCTCTCATTCACTGTACGCCAGTTTTTATAATAGATGGTAATATATGATTGGGAAGTTCTCTCTCCTCATTTCTATGAATATTACATTAATCTCGAGTAATCTTACTCATTCTTAACTAACTATTGATTATCGGTTATGAAAAAGGAATGGATGACACGAGTTTACTGAAGTAAGTCGTTTCCGGAATTCAGTTTCTCAGGCTTTAAGGGAGAATAAGGCATTATTGTAAAAAATAGATGGAAGAGAAAATAGAGCGAACTGAAGAGGATTGACATTTCCAATCTCCCAAGAGTCCTCCACCCTCTCCCAGCACCCCTTTTTTTTTCCAGGGGTTCTGATCTCCGAGTGACTTTTTCGTGTGTCATTCCGGTGTTTCAATCTACGCACTGCATATGTCTCTCGGACGAAACAATAAAAATACAAAAAATAAACCCTCAACTGACGCCATGTGTTTCCAACTGGACACTGGCCCTTTACCCTCTGGAAAGGGGCGAGTCAATCGTCATGGACGACTCAGAGTTCAGACAAATCGGGGGCTCTTAAAAAGGGTGGTGTCACGGTGGGGGAGGGCGGGGTTGTTTTATACCCCCTTTTTTTTTTATTCTGGTAGGAAAAACTGGCGACAAGAAGGTCCAGGGGAAGATCGAGGGATCTTGATTTACTGTTACACCATTTACTTTTACTCTCAATCTTCACTTGATGTTAAATAGAAAGGAATTGAAAAGGGAAATGTCAGTGGGATGCGGCTATTAATTTCGAATTAACAATCTCGAGATTTTTTTCTTATACCCTGAATTGCCTTTAATTACCCATTAATCATTGCCAATCTCAAATTTACTCGCAATCAACAAATGGTAATTGTTTTTTAGTAATTATTCGGGAATAAACAGTGCAGATAGTTTATATAGAGTTATTACTGCAGTTGTAGAAAATTCTAAGGGATATCACAGGCAGTGGTTCTCCGCAATTATCCGGAGGGATTTCATAAAGAGACTTTTTTTTTTTAGGGAATTAAATTTTAGACAGGAGAGAACCTTTGATGTTTTTTTTTTCAAAGCCACTCGTTTGCGAGATATTTGCTGGGTACACTGTGAGGCAGTTTAAAAGTTATCTCCCTTCGCCATTCGCCTGCCAAGTCAATAAAAAAAATATCGATCAATCTTGTCTATTTTTTTTCTGATTCTCTATTTCTCTCTACCATTGCTCGTAATTATCAATCAATCCAAATCAATAAAAGGGGCTACCAGAAGTTGTCGGGACTGTTAAATAATTCCTCTTGAAATTACAACTAACGAAAAATTTCCGTTTTTATAAACACGAAATTAACACGACATTTGTTGCGATTTTTTAAACGACATATCGGGTAATTTGTTTGGATATTAAACAGAAATATAGAACCGTGGAAATGAGGCAATTATTTCCCGGAATTCTCGGTGCATTGAGAAAATGTTTAATTAAAGGTGTTATCAAATGTGATTACGGAGACTCGACGTAATATGATGAATATTACGTTCTATGGCTGTAATAAATATTTCCCGAAACTTCATAAGCTCAAAAAAGAAAAATCTCTCGTCACTTTGGACGGGAAGTCCTTTTCCAGCAATTTCCACACCCGATAAAACTCATATGTCCTATCCACCTCATTATCTCCACTCTCCAACCCTCAAATTGCACTTTCAACCTCTCAATCTGAAAAACTTCCCCATCAGAAAATCCCCTCCG